CAAGAACCCCCCCCCCCCCATGTACATCACCCTCTACTACATAGTCACCCGGCTCCCTGACTCTCTCCGCGTAGTCAGGGACCACTTCCTCTCAGTTTGCCCCACCACTCTCACCGTTGACCTCCTCAAGAAGGGCCTCCTAGCAGCAGAGAATAGCATTGTCGCTATAGGAGCCTCTCGTGGTGACCCTCGCACCCAAGTCTTTGAGGGGTGTTCCCCCTCCCCCCTCTTGCCCTCTGTCGCCTCTGCTGCTGCGGCCGACCTCGTTGGTTTCGAGTCGGTCGGCGCTGCGTCTGTCCCGAGCGGGAGATGCCGCACCGGCAAGGGCAAGGGGGGCAAGGGCGCTCGAGGGGCTGGCGGGGGCGGTGGAGGTGGTGGTGGAGGCAGGAATCTATATATATGCTTGCATGCTTGCTCTTGTAGGTAGAGAACACTGTGCTATTGTTGTTACATATATATCTCCGCATGCGAACTGGCCTTGTGGCCTGTTGCATGTTCGCAAACTGCGTGGTGACGTTGCGATCCACCCTGAGCTTGCTTTGCACTTCCCGACTGGTCTTGTGACCCTCTGTTCTCCCCCACTTTGCCTATGGGGGTGTGTCAAACATATTGTTATATGTTATAGTTTGGGTAGGCTTTAGTGGGGTACTCACTTTGGGGTACAACCCCTTAGGTTATATTTTTGTACCAAACTCTCCATAGTTAATTCATCCTTCCCTTTACTCTCGACAGCAACACTCCCAGAACCGGCACCTCCAGTCCCAGGGTCTCCAGCCTCAGTGTCTCCAGCAGCAGCACCCTCAGGCTCAGCACCTCCAGCCCCACCAGCTCCAGTACCTCCATTACGAGCACCTCCGGGACCAGCACCACTCCCAGCTCCAGTGATGTCAGCAGAAGTACCTCCAGCGGCAGAGCCCCGAGCTCCAGAAGCGCGACCCTGACGGTGACTGTACCAGTCGTGCAGCTGCTGTGAGTTGAGAGGCACACGGGGACAAAGGTCGCTACTCCAAGGAGACCGCGCAACAGCAGACTCAGAACCCTCAGTGCCAGCACCCGCAGCAGCTCCAGAACCTCCAGCAGAAACAACTCCAGTAGTAGAGTCACCAGCTCCAGAAACTCACGCAACAGGGCACCCAGCAGTGCGACCCTGACGGCCAACGTACCACTCACGCAGCTGCTGTAGGGAGAGAGGGAGTCGACGACAAGAGTGCAGCGGCGAGGTACCAGCGGAGCGACTACGGAGACGGCCGCTCCAGGGAGACTACTCACCAGACGCCTCAGCGCCCCCACGTACAGCACCCCCAGACTCAGTACCCCCACGCTCAGTACCCCCAGACTCCTCACGCCCAGGCTCAGCACCTCCAATCTCCGCACCCCCAGGCTCCGCATCTCCAGGCTCCGCACTCCCAGGCTCAGCACCCCCAGGCTCCGCACCCCTAGGCTTAGCACCCCGAGGAGGACCACCCTTAGCAGGATTTGAGTCACCAGTGACCTCAACCAGTGCAGTCAAGGGAGGAGGGTCTACCTGAGACACACCTGAAGGAGCAGGACCAGGAGCGGGGAGGGGGTCTACCTGGGGAGCACCTGGAGCGAGGAAGAGCAGCGGGGGGGGGGGAGAGGAGTAGTGCGGTAGAGGAAGAGACAGTAAAAGGGAACTGACTCGTCGAACGTGACGTCCTGAGAGGGGAAGACACGGCGCGAGGTGGGGTGGTAAAACTGTCAACCAGGCGTGTCAGGGACAAAGCCAAGGAAGACACAGGGAACAGCGTGGGCAGAGAGCTTGTCTGCGGTGGTATCGCGGACAAAGGCACGAGCACCCCAGACCCGGAAACGCGACGCATCGCCAACCTTCCCCGTCCACAGCAGTGTGGGCGAGGTCTCCGGCAAGGAGACACGCGGCCAGAGGTTGAGCTGATGCGCAGCGTACCGGACCGCAAACGACCACAGAAAATACGGGGCAGCCGCATGGATCATGGAGGTACGAGCGACCTCCATGACTAAGCGAATGCGACGCTCAGCAACCCCATTTTACTGCGGAGAGGCCGAAAGTGTTAACGTCTGGTAGATGCCGTGCTCCGCACAGAAGGCTGCCAAGAAGTCGGAGGAAAAATCCCCACCTCTGTCAGAGTCAGACGTAGGACGGGAAACTCCGTCCTGAATGGCTCAGGGAGCTGGAGACAAGCAGCGCGGATCCAAGGGATCAAAACATTAGGGACCTCACCCTTAGTGCGCAAGGGGAAGACCATGGTGTAACGCGTGTAGTCGTTGACAACCAGCAAGAAGTACCGCTCGTGGCCCTGTCCACGGACGTGGGCTGGGACCCACACGTTCAGGTGGAGAGTCTGCAGGGGAGCCTCTGTGGGAGGGAACAAGGAGGAGTGAGGAGCGACGCGCTGCCGCCCCTCGACACAGAGAAGACAGGGAGGAGCAGGCGAGGGTGGGAGGGGAGGGAGAACACTGGGAAGACCAGAGACAAGGACACGGCGGTGCATGCTACGAAGGCGCTGCACCGAGGGGTGACCAAGGCGGTGGTGACAAAGCACGACACAAGCAAAGGGCCGCTAGCTGACCTGACGCAGGCGCAGACGCAGCGACCTGAGGGGACACAGTACTCAGTGTGTACAAACTCGAGCCAGGCGCACGAGTAAACGTGGCCAGGTGCCGGCCCGTCCAAGAGCACGTACTGTGGGTCACGCGCTGCCCTCCAAGAGTAAACTGGTCAACCCACTGGTCCTAGAGGTCAGCACCACTCACCAAGTTTGTAGAGAACAAGGGGAGGTGAAGACCTGACAGGGAGCCAGACGGGACCGCCGGACATGGCGGGACCGTGGAGGAGTGCGCAAGGACTGGACCCCCAGAGGGATCTGCCAGGGAGACAGGAACCAGCCGGCTGAGCGGCGTGAGGGTGGTGTTGTTGCGAAATAAGGATCGCGAAGCACCTGATTCAAGTGTGAAGGTGTACAAGGCCTCAGCAGGCGCAGTATCAGAGAGAGCAGACTCACCAGCACCTGGAGCAGTAGCCTCACCAGCACCCAGAGCAGGAGACGCACTTGCACCTAGAGCAGCAACCTCACTAGCACCGAGAGCAGCAAGCTCTATACCTGGGTCAAGCGGTACGCACAGGTAACAAGCACGGTCAGCACTAGTAGGCAATGCATACATGGCAGTGAGAATAGCATCCTAGTCAAGAGAAAATATATCTACCCTCTGCCCAAGCAGCTCCACCCAGTCGGGGAACTCAGCCTCGTTGCCAAACTCAGTACGCCAGGCGTCGCTCAGAGTGGTAGTGGGGGTGGAGGTGTTGGTGGCAGCTGTGGAGGCGGAGGAGGCGGCGGCGGTGGCGGAGGGAGCGGAGGCGGCGGAGGCGAGGGAGGTGGCGAAGGCGGCGGCGGCAGCAGTGGACCTGGTCGCGCCTCTGCGCAGAGGAGTGGCTCCGGTGGTGGTACGCGCCTGCAGCAGAGCAGTCGTGAGACTGTGTCCCCTCAGCAGCTTCGTGAGTGGTACGTTGCGCGTCAGCGCGGTGGGGGTACGGGTCCCTGCACCTACGTTCTCCGCACCGGCGACCACGCTGGTGAGCAGTGCGGGGGCCCGCACTCCACCCAGCGCTGCTTTGGCCACCTGACGGACGCGTGGCGTCACCAGTTCCCTGGGGCCTCTGAGATCCCTCGCTGGGGAGAGCTGTCTAGGGCGGGGGCTGCTATCTTTGATCTTGATTTTGATGCTATTCTTGCTGCCATGTACGCTGTTGATGATAGTGTTGCGGGTGACTGTTACTTGTGTGTACCGCCTGACCCAGGCATTGAGGCTGCTGCTCTAGGTGCTAGTGCGTCTGCTACCCCAGGTGCTAGTGCGTCTGCTGCCCCAGGTGCTGGTGAGTCTGCTCTCTCAGGTACTACGTCGGCTTAGACCTTACACACCTTCACCCTTGAGTCGGGTGCGTCCCGCTCCTTCTTTCGAGACCGCACCACTCTTACGCCGCTCAATCGGCCGGTTGCAGTCTCCCTGGCAGACCCCTCTGGGGGTCTTGTCCTTGCTAGCTTCTCCACTGTCCTACCGTGCCCGGCAGCCCCCTCTGGCACCCTATCAGGTCTCTACCTCCCCTTGTTCTCTACAAACTTGGTGAGTGGAGCGGACCTACAGGATAGGGGGGTTGACCAGTTCACTCCTGCGAGTCAGCGGGTGACCCACTGCACGTGTGCTCGGACAGGCCGACACTTGGCCACGTTCACCCGTCGGCCAGGGTCGAGCCTGTACACCCTTACTACTGAGTCTCCTCCGGCTGCTGAGTCTGGCCAGGTAGCTGCTTCGAGTTAGGTGTTTGCTGCAGCGTCCAGGTCTGGTCCTGAGTCTGCTCCCTGCTCGTGCCGTCTCCTGTCCCACCAGACTCTCCTTTGGCACCACCGCCTTGGTCACCCCTCCCTGCCTCGTCTCCGAGGCATGGCCTCCCGTGTCCTTGACTCTGGTCTCCCTCGGTCTCTCCCTCCCCTACCTCCAGGGCCTGGCCCTACCTGCATCCTCTGTGTCGAGGGGCGACAGCGCGCCACCCCTCACTCCTCCGAGTTTCCTACGACTGAGGCTCCGCTGCAGACTCTCCACATGGACGTTTGGGGCCCCGCCCGCGTTAGTGGGCACGGGCATGAGCGGTACTTCCTTCTGGTGGTTGATGACTACTCGCGTTACACCACAGTCTTCCCCTTGCGCAGCAAGGGTGACGTCACTGAGGTGTTGATCGACTGGATCCGCGCAGCTCGTCTCCAGCTCAGAGAGAGTTTCGGCTCGGACTTTCCTGTTCTGCGTCTGCACTCGGACAGAGGCGGGAAGTTTTCCTCTGCCCGTCTCGGAGCCTTCTGTCGTGCACAGGGCATCCGCCAGACCTTCACGCTTCCGGCCTCTACACAGCAAAATGGGATTGCTGAGCACCGCATTGGCATGGTCATGGACGTCGCTCGTACGTCCATGATGCATGCGGCTGCTTTGACATGAGCTACTAGGCGGAGCGCATGGAGCAGATCGTGGTCTATGAGTTCATGGCCATTGGCGACCTCGACCGCTGGATCAGACCCGGTGAGCTGGGGTTGATCGTTGTTTTTTCACATGATAGATGGATTGAACCAGGTGAGTGGGTACAAGGTTTGTTAAGGATTGGCCCAAGGCAGGTGAATTGGACAGTGTAAGATGGTACAGACTCGAAAAGGTATATTGCGAAATGTTTAGTCGACAAAAAAAAAGGCTTGGAGGAGTATCTCGTCTTGATTATCCAGTTGTGTCTGCCTTAGTCTAGTCAACCCTTGGGTAAATCCAACAGCCGAAGCAGTGGTTTTTGTGTACTACGTATGCATGGTCTAACCCCTTGTTACATCCTTACTCTCTACATTTACTTTCTAAACGCTCATAAAACTCATTGCGATTCATGGAATCCATTCTATCAACCTAAAGGGCTCGAATGCATTGCAATTCGAGGCTCTTGTTCCATCCATAAACACACCCAGCTGCCCAACTCCCAACTGCCACACCTTCTCCTCCCAGGCGCACCCCACCCGCTCACAATGCAGCAGCGGTTAGCCATCCTGACGAGCATGGCGCGCGGGCTGGAGTATCTGCACGGCTTCAGCATCGTGCATTGCGACATCAAGCCCGCAAACGTCCTGTTGGACGCGCGCATGCACGCCAAGCTCGCTGACTTTGGGCTGGTGCGACTTGGGGAAGGTACATTTGTGGCCGCTACCCGAGTCATGGGCACGCCGGGCTATGTGGACCCCACTTACTACCGCTCCCACAAGGCCACTCCCAAGGCCGCCGTGCATAGGTGTGGATGATGTGTTACTCACGTGTGCATGTGTTATTGGCTTTTTCTCTCTGTTATGCATATGCAGCCAGGCATATGCATTAGCAATATCATGCATGGCATTTCAGACATCTCCCATACCAAGACCAGCTTGTCTGGCGCTTGGTGGCACAAGATGGTTTAATTATCCTAGTTGCCTTCCTTTTCCTGCTGACTGTTTGATGTTTCTCTTCCCTGCGGTAGTCGATCTCCACGCGCCTCGCGGCCCGGTCACCGACGATTCTGTCCCACGCGGCGAAGTTGAGGTTGAAGTCGCCGTTTTGGCCGACCGCGCGCACCAGCACGCTGCCCTCCAAGCAGCTCGGGTGGTTCATGCAGGAAACTTCATAGCACCTTCCGCAGACCTTTCCGCTGCTGAAATCTCCCGAAGGTACCTGCGCTACCATGCCGTAGTCGAAATCCAAGCTTTCGCCGTAGTCGAATTGGCCGCGGTAGCACGTTCCCTCGCGGTTCAGATCGGCGGACGTGGCGTACATGGCATCGGCCGGAGTGAGGGCGAGAGCTCCTAGCAGGACGATTCCCACGCAGAGTAACCCGCCGATCTTGAAAACTCGAGCCATTGGAGAAAAGGAGCAGGGGGAAAGAACCGCTGAGAGCTTGCGGGAGCTTGCTGATGTGAAAACAGATATGCAAACGGGCTTGAATATCAGACACAGCTTGTAGGGCAAAAAATCGATTGAGATGATGATCAAGTGAAGGAGGAAGAGATTTATTTAGTTGCGTCAGTCGGGGAGAATCGGAACTTGGGGAATGTGGGTTCAAGGCACGGACTGCTTGGCTGGAGTCCCCCACATGGATGTCCTCTCTTCTGCTTCAGAATAACAAAAATTTCGTTCTCGTCGCAGACTGACTGCTTTGCGATGCCGACGAAAAAGGCTGTAGTTCTTTCGCGAATCGAAGGTTGGGAAGGCGATAGCCTCTACGATAATTGTTTTGGGGAGCGGCGTCATTCCGTTCCGTCATTCTTGGGGATTTGCTCCAAGGAAAGCAATGTCGTTGAGTCACTTTCGGGTACAGTGAGCTGGGAATAATTGTTCTCAAGAGGCAGAGGGTCTAGGCGGAATTCTAGGCGGGGCGAGAGGCTTCACGATTATTGTATTTGTAGGTCATCAGGGTTGTGGCTAGTAACTCAGCTCATTCGACGAACCACACCGAAGCGTTTCGCAGGTGGTAACGCAAAGATTTGCTTTGTGCTCCTCGCTGTTTTAGCATCTCGCAATCCCACTCTTTTCAGCAGATAAATGCAGCGAGAACATATTACGAGGCGCGTTTCCCTACTCTGTCTAACTCTACGAAGCTCGTTTTACGGTTTGGTTTGGTGGCAACCTTGTTGCTTGGGTGTAACATTGCAAGATTAGTTATTGTTACGAGTGCAATTGAGTTGTTATGAGTTTTACTAGACAGAGTGCGCGGAAGACTTTATTGAAAGGATGTCGAATACCGAATCACTGAATCTCACGATACAATAAGAAAGGCACGACTAAATAGGGGAACTGCTAGCTAGGCGGAGAGGTTGGGCGAGGATGGCTTGGTGATGGTTGGGATTGGAGCGGGGGCGACTCGGGAGTGGTTCGGTGCGACGAAATAGGAAGGACAGGTTCGTCGCGTGACCCTCGGGATGGCCTTGCTAACAAATGCCTCAGTAAGGATTATGTAAATCCTTACATGAGTGAACGAACGAGAATTGCACTATCGATGCAAGAATACAATGAGCGAAAGCATGAGCGAAGATTATATAGCAAAACTACAGTGGTAACGGTAATGGACTGTGGTTGTCGCGCGACGAGCCTATGACTGAGGTTGGGAAAGTCTCGAAGCGGAGGCCCGGAGCGCGGGTTACCAGCCGAGCCGTGAGGTCGGGGTGCGATGTGCGAAAATGGCGGGGTGATTGTCGATGCGAGGATCGCGAGTGGTAACGGTGCTGACTGAGGTGCTACAGCGATGTACGCGTTAAGCAGGGATGCGAAGTAAGGAAAAGTGATTTTCCTTACACTACACCCCCTCCTAAGGAGGTCCTTCTTACGACAGTGCGTGGACGTCCCTGAAGTTTCGGCTGCGCAGATACTCGGTGAGGACAGGGTGGTTTTCAATTCTGTCCAGGGGAACCCAGTTGTCCTTGGTGGGTGTACGATCCTTCCACCGGATCAGGAACTCGATCTTTCTGGCTCCACGAGGGTCGCGAACTCTGTGGCTCAGGATTTTGTCGGGGGTGATGAGTGGTTCGGTTGGTGGTCGTGCCATGCTGGCTGGTCGATTGTGTGGGAGTTGGCTTGTGGAGGGTACGTAGGGGCGAAGCAGGCTGACGTGGAACGAGGGGCTGACGTACCAGTCAGCAGGGAGGAGGAGGTGCGCGGTGACAGGCGTTATCATATGGCTAATTCGAAATGGCCCACAGTATCGAGGGCGGAGTTTGGGGGTGATCGGCAGGCGGAGGTTTTGAGTGTCGAGTAAAACGAGGTCATCGGGCTGGTAAGTGACAGGTCTGCGGTGGCGGTCAGCGTTGCGTTTAGCGATGATGTTTGATTTTTAGATTGCTTTTGCTGCCCTGGTCCGTGCTGCTTGCAAAATCTCGGCGAACTGTTGTGCGCGTGGAACGGGGTTGTCGGGATTCGGTGTCATGGGTACTGTTGGGTCTTGTCCGTAATTCAGGTAAAATGGTGACTGTTGGGTCATGGCGGATGGGGCGCTGTTGTATGCGAATTCGATGAGTGGCAGTTGCTGTTCCCACGTATTTGGATCGTCGCACGTGGCCCTAATGAGCTGTTCCATGGTCTGGTTTGTCCGTTCGGTCTGTCCGTCGGTTTCGGGGTGATACGATGAACTGAACTGTAGGCGCGTGCCGAACTGCTGCCACAGGTTCCGCCAGAAGTTGCTAGTAAACTTCGTGTCTCTGTCGCTGATGATTGATATTGGTATCCCGTGTAGTCGAACGACAGTAGAGATGAAGAGGCGGGCTGTTTCTTCGGCTGTGATTGATTTCTTGCAGGCTGCGAAGTGTGCCATTTTCGTCAGTCGATCGACGACGACCAGGATCGCGTCATTCCCACTCGCCCCGGCCGGTAACCCCGTGACGAAGTCCATCGTCACTTGCTGCCAAGCACGCTCTGGAGGTGGGATTGGTTGCAATTGTCCCGCCGGCCGCTTCCGGGTTGACTTTATGATCTGGCAAGTGGGACACGATGCCACGTGTCACTGCACGTCGGTCAACATTTCGGGCCAGTAATAATACCGCTGCAGCTGCTGCCGTGTTTTCTCTACTCCGAAATGTCCCGAGGTAACTCCGTCGTGTGCCTCCTGTAACAGTAATTCCCGTAGTAGTGTGTACCCTGGTACCCAGATGCGGTCGGTTCCAGTTTTTACGTAATAGACTCCCTTGGCTGCTGCAAATTGCTGCGAGTTGCCTCCTGTGAAGAATGGATTTGTTTGATATCCGTGGGTAAATAGTCCTGTCAGTAGCGGGCTGGTCTGGGCGAGTAGTATCGCATGGATCTGGGCAGTGGGGCGGGTTAGTGCGTCGGCGATATTCGAGGCTCCTTTTTTATATGTGACCGTATAATGGAAATTTGACTCGAGGAAATCGAGCCACCGAATCTGTCGTGGGTTGAGGTGGGGCTGTGCACGGAGGTACCGTAGGGATCGATGGTCTGTCCGTACTGTCACGTCTGCGCCGGTCAAGTAGCAGTGCCACACTTTGAACGCATGCACGATCGCGAGCATTTCACGGTCGTGTATCGGGTAATTTCGTTCAGGCGGATGCAGTTTTCGTGATTCGTAGGCGATGGGCTGGAGGCCATTGCCGAAGTCCTGTAACAGTACGGCTCCGATGGCGATGTCGCTTGCGTCTGTAAAAACTTCGAAGGGGCGATGTGGGTCAGCGATGCGTAGGACGGGTGGTGAACAGAGAACATGTTTCAGGGTAGAGAAGGCAGCATGTTCGTTCTCCCCCCACGTAAAAACGACCCCCTTGCGAAGTAAATCTGTTAGCGGGGCTGTTAAGCGTGCCATGTCGGGGACGAATCGACGAACGTAATTAACGAACCCTAAAAAACTCTGCAGCTCCGTGATGTTCGTCGGGGGATGCCACGCTTTTACGGTATCCAGCTTCTTGGGGTCGATTTCAACTCCAGCCTCCGAAAGAACGTGCCCTAAAAATTCTAACCTATCCCGAAAAAACTCGCACTTGGATCTCTTGGTGAGTAACCGATGTTCCTCTAAAATTTTAAATACTGCTTCGAGATCGACTAAGTGTTGTTGCTGGTCGCGAGTGTAAACGAGGATGTCATCGAGGTAAACTATCACGCATTTATCTAAAAGTGGCCTAAACGCCTCGTTCATGGTCATCTGAAATGTTGCGGGCGCGTTGGTCGACCCGAAAGGCATCACCGTGTACTCGAATGACCCGTACCTAGTCCTAAATGCTGTCTTGGCGCAGTCCGATGGTTCGACCCGAATTTGATGGTAACCCCTCCGTAAGTCTGTTTTCAAAAATACCCGTGCTGTTTGCAGCTGGTCGATCAGTTCGTCGGCGCGGGGGATGGGGTATCGCGATTTGACTGTTACTCTGTTGAGCGCTCGGTAATCAATGCACATGCGAAATCGTCCGTCCTTTTTCGGTGTGAACAGTATCGGTGCGGCGAACGGTGACGAGCTCGATCGGATAAACTGCTTCTCTAACAAATAATCTAACTGCTTCCTTAGTTCGTCGAGCTCGGGCTGTGTCAGTCTGAACTGGCGCTGTACAGTTGGCTGTGCCTCCGGTTCTAACTCGATCCTATGGTCAATGCGCCCGCTGAGGTGGCAGTCCTTGCGGTAAATCGTCTGGAAAAATCCCCGGGTACCGTTTCAATAGATCCTGAAGTACGGGCGGTACCGCTGCCAACAGTTTCTGAAAATCGCTCGGCTGCTCCTCTTCTCCTACTAAAGCTATATCCACTGCGTACACGTCAGCTCCCGTGGCAACAACCTGTTTCA